TCAAAACTAAGCAGATTGAAATGTGCACAGTAAAGACATTAAATGATTAAATCTTTTCACTACCAACCAATGCACCACGAGTGTCCCTGTCGGTCATTTTGGCCAGCCAATCACTTACCGCGGTGCCCTGCGGGTTGGTTACTGTACCGCGGGTTTTTACCGCTCATTTTGAATGGCTGCATCTGTACCTGCACTGAGACAACTGACCAAAATTAATGCAGATGTCTTTTCACTGTGTTTTTGAATACTGCCAGAACAATTGTTCAACTACAATTAAAAATACTACAAAAGCAGTGAAGAACAATGTAATGTAAAATACTATGACGTAATGTAATCATACTATTATCTGATATTGACTGTAGAGAATCATGTTGTTCTCTCAAGTGTAAATTAAGATGCAGTTTTGGGGTATTCGTGGTTTTTATTTATTTAAAGATGGGCTTGCCAGTTTAAACTTTCTCCATGTGCTGGATCAGCACACAGATGTCCTGTCTGGTTTTATGGACCACGCTGCAAGGAAACTATAGTTTTTGACATGGAGAATCCTTTCACAGCTTGATACAGTCCTCTTGGTTTCAACACGAGAAGGGAAGAATCAAGGACCATGCTGAACTGGCCATCACAATTAAGGAGAGATTGGTGTCCAGGGTGTCCTGTTGTGACAGAGGGATGTCTGTCACCGTCCGCAGACAGTAGATTACAAGACACTCATTATCCATCTTAAGTTACACATGATCTCGCACACACTTTCCTGTCGGCTGGCTACAGTGTGGAGCTGATAGGACCTAAGTGTGGTAGAACTGATCTCTTTCTTAGATAAAGGGTTTGTTTTTTGTGTGTGTGTACTAGTTCAATTTTGTTTTTTGTTTTTTGTTTTGCTATACATAATTGTCTGTGGGGAGCATTGTCATAATATACCATCATCTTTGCACCTAAGTGCAATTGCGGCTGAGATATCATTTTGTTTTAAAAGGACTCACTTGGGCACCCCTCCTGCCCTCCCTGTGACACCTGTGTATCATATAGTTGCATATTCTGCGCTGGTCTTTCCCTCCCCTTTTAATATGGGTTTATGTTGCTATGCCATTGCATTTTTGCACAGTATTTTTCACAATATTGTCACAGCTGTGAAGTGCTTGTTTAGAAAAAAAATCTGTTTTCAATTATCTCTGAATAACTGGCAAAATGTGTTGAAGCTCTATCTTGCCCTAAACAATTATGTTTTGTATTACAGTACAGTAGTATATTGAAAAGTGTGAATTATTCTAAATGCTCTGCAGTGAAAACCAAGATTCTCCCACCTAGTGGGCTAATTGATATTTTGTCATTCAGGAACACAGTCACCTCTGAAGCCTCCCAGGTATTTTCACACTTGTGGTGCCTTCAGTAAGGGAGATGCCTCTCTTAAAATGATTGATTAACTTCCTGGAAAAGACTTATGGAAAACACAAAACTTGGCATTCCAAATCAGGTGTGTAGAACAACAATAATTAATTATCTTAATTATTAATTAAGTTCAAAAACTGCAATTAAGAGGATTTTTCCTTTCCAGTTTCTCTGTGCATGATGCTCTTGAACTACTGTATACTGAAAATTAAAGAAATATAAATATTTGTGAGAATTTAAAGTTGTTTATTTTTTAATTTGCTTCCGTAGTAGTGCAGATGCCTGTCCAAAGTTTCAAATTCATAATCATCCATAAATATTTTGTTAACTTTTGTTTTATTTTGTTTTCTCACACCTCTTTTTCAGAAACATAATAGTGTCACAACTATGAAGTGCTTTAATTGTTTTCAAATTCTTTGAAGAAGAAAAAATGTGAATAATTGTTTTGCTCAGTGTTAAAAGAAATCTTCAATCTGTAGTTAGTTTTGTTCTTGAAGAATTGGCTTGAAATATCTGGCCAAATACAATCATTCCAAGAGCTTTTCTGAACCAGCTGTAAAAGAAAGCATAGACAAGAGGATTAAATGTAGAATTTAAGTATCCTAGCCACACAAGAGTGTCAAATAGTACAGGTGGAGTTGAATAATTAAAAAGAGGATTCAGGTTGACACTCAAGAAACATGGTGTCCAGCAGCAGAGAAAGACCCCCATCACTATTCCCAGAGCCTTCGCAGCTTTTCTTTCTGTCTTGCTTGAAGGTATTGTTTTGCTGTCTTCTGAGCTCTTACTCTGGGAAACGAGGCCTTCAATTGCCCTGGCTTGTCTCCTTGCTACAAGGAAAATGTTCAAATAGATTCCTACCATCATAAACCCAGGAATGTAAAATGCCAGCAGGGAAGAAATCAGGCTAGATATTTCAGTCTGTATCAGAGTACAGCCCCCTACACAATATACATTCTCATAGTAGACATCTTCTATGCCCTTTATATTTAACTCCAGAAAAATCAGTCCAAATCCAATAACAGCTGAAACACTCCAACTAATGACAACCATGAAAAGTGCAACATAAATAGTGATTTTAGTTTGGTATTTTAGTGGTTCACACACAGCATAATATCGATCGATTGAAATGAAGGAGAGATGGAATATAGAAGTAGTACATAACATGACATCTATGGTGGTATAGATTTTACAAAACAAGTCTCCGTAGTACCAACAAGTTTCAAGTGATCGGACCATACTGGGAGGCATTATAAATCCTCCTATTAGCAAGTCGACAACTGCTAATGAGAGGACAAGAAAATTAGTTGGTGTGTGAAGCTGTCTGAAGTGAGCAATGGAGATGATGACAACCAGGTTTCCACAAACAGTGAACACAATAACTGCTACTAAGATGAGATACAGTGGAGTACGTATCGTAGCCACATAAACATGTTTCAGACATGACTTGTTTACCGAATCGTAACAGAAGTGTGTATTTTCAGTCATTCCAGTGACGTTCAGCATGCTCTTTCTTTATATCCCAAGTGTTGTAGAAAAATAGGTTTCTGTAAAAAGACCAACATAACATTAAATGATGTTGCTACTATTTATTTTTCGT